AAGTCAACATAGGGAAATAGGCTAGTAACTGATGATAATAGTATGTTGAATTGTCAAAATTAAAATTAATACTACTTGCAATGATTAATACATTCTGTTCTGTTAAAACAATTTTAAGACCATTAAATACGTGTAATATCCCTTCAGTCGTAAGCGAATAATGACTAACTTGGTAACAAAACAATGAACACCATTAAGACTCCCTAAACAATACATTCGACTTTTTATTCTTAAACCATTTCTTTCTCTGAAACAACATTTACATGAATAAGAAACATTGAATTCCTTTATACAGTGTATCCTAATTTATATATTATATGTGATAACTGAGGTTACACTGTGAGCATCATGTGAGGAAAATTTGAGATCCTTGTACGCTGAGAAATGCAGCTATAGCCAAGCAGAGTTCTATAGACTTTCAAGGGAAACTGCAAACTGAATGAGACACAGAAACATTTATATGTATAATGTCTAATGCCTCTATAGAGCTTTCTAAAAAACAATACCATATTTCTCATTAGACAGTTTGTGCAGGAAAGAAAACTTCTGGAATTTCTTTTATTTAGTTTTTATGCCTCTCTTGATGTGAAGGGTGCCTTCGCCCTAATGGATACACAGAGCTGTGGGAACAAGGACTTGATGACTCGCTGTGTGGGGCCAGGGGTGCAGACACTAAGCCCTTACCTTTCATTTTGGGCTCTTTGACTGATACCTCATTCACCAAGAGGAGGTGAAGAGGAATTACACTCATTTTTTTTGTGCTGGCTTTTGTTTATCTACGTTACTCTTGCCCTGAATCTACTTGATGCTACCACCAACAACCATTTTTGCACAATTAGAAATAGTTTAACAACTTCCAGAAAAGTTCTTGGTTATAAATTCAGGGTTATAAATTCTGTTTTAAAATCAGAGACTCTTCAGTTGCCTTGCTACCTACCTTCCATCTCCTAGGAGTCCAGACACCTTGCTAAAACTGCCTAGTAAGTTATGTGAGGTCACCTTTAGCTCGATGTGTCTGACGAGAGGGATTTATTTTCCTTTCTAAACACTATGTACAAATGTGCATGACTGAACTAGAAGATACTGATTTCTATCAAAACTATAATGCTATAAATAATTAACATAAATCATCTTAAATACTGTTTTTACAGTATTTAAGAATTTTTTGAAAAAAATGACATCTATATTTCCATCAATACCTAGGATGAATTCTCAATCTGTTATAGACCTTCCTCCTCCTATATTTTAAATCATCTACAGAGTAGTGTGCAGAACACACTTCAGAATCTGTATTTGGGCAAATGTTCATGGTGAACTGAGGCAACTATGTGTGTAATTTGTCAGAAAGATGAATGTACTTGAGCAGAAGCACAGTTTTACATGAATTATCTGCAAAATTGCTTCAGATTTCCACATTATATGTAATCCTATTTGGAGTAAAATACCAAACTTTTATCCATTAACAGATTTGCTAATAATATTACTTTTTGGTATTCAAAGTTTAGTTACCTAAACACATAGAGCTAGCCACTCATTATAGCCTATTTAAATGCATATAAATTCTTTAATATTAGAGACTCCTGGCTTTTACATAAGGCATAATGTCTAATTTGGTTATAGACACAGATGTCCATATTAATTATATTATATCATTCAGAAAGCATTTATGCTAGCTTTGTATGAACAATTTACTTTTTTCAATAAGTAATAAAGTTAGAGGCTTGAAATGAAAGGGTAGAAACTAAACGACAAGCTGTATTTTAAAAATTAAATGTGGAAACGTGCTAAATTGAGGAACATTTACATACATCTTTATGGCAACTCTTCCCATTACATGAATAGCTCAAATATTTGTACAAAACCACTGAAGTGGTAAATCCATTTTAAAATGTAATAACGTACATGTATGCACATGCACACAAACACACACACAGATGCTAAATGTATAAAATGTATCAGGTAGCTGGTGGCCATGGCAGAATGAATAGTAGATTACTAAGTCATCCCAGTTTCCAATTATATTTATACGTGAATTGTGCATTTATAAAAACCTTACAAACAATTCTCTTTTTCCAGGAAGACATTATAGGTACCATTTTAACACATGGAGTAAGAAAACATCTTGAAATTCTTAAAATCACAATTAGATAAGTTAAACAATACAATAAGCTGATGGCTATCATGAATAAAGAATTCTATCCATATAGACTTTGAAACAACACCAGAGTTTCTGTTAAAGTTTTAATTGTCTTAGTGCCTGGAAAGTATATATTTTGAAACATAATATAATGGAAAGCCATATATATTTTTTAATAAGTAGTTTATATTAAAAACATTCTAAGGCGTTGCTAAATTTGAAGTAAATTGGTTTTCAAATTATGTAAACTGAACAGATTATTTGAATTGTTGTTTCCTAATAAGTAGATGGTTAATTGCATTTTCCTGAGCAATTTTACCGGGACAGGATGGTAATTTAGCTAATAACATGTTGCATTATGTTCTGAGAACACTGTGAGAAATCCAAATTTCATTTTCTTGGCAATATACTGAGGTCATTTGGCACAAAAGAGGAAGTAGGAGAAAGTTTTATGTTAATTGGGAATAAATCCTGGGAACAAATAATTTTTTCTAGGTGTATTAATACTTGCCTTTGTCATGTTAATTGCACATCTCACTTAAAAACTGGAAATGCTAAGTATTTCTGGGGACATGACATTTCAATGACTGGGATAATCAAAATGAGTCTAATTTATCCTGAGGACAGTAAATCCACACAGGGGAGAAAGACCAACTATAATTCTATAAATGAAAGTACTTAGTTCCACTTCAAAATTCACAGTGTCTATGTATTTGTCTGCATTTTTAAGGTTGTAGGCAGCAGAACTATTCGCATTAAACTACTTATAGAGATTATTTTTCACCTATTCAGGAAGACTATTTATACAGAGTTAACAGGGAAACTTAGAGGAAATTTTCCATAGGAGCCTTATTCAACTGAGAATTTCTCATTAGAATGTGGTTTAGGAAAGTAATTAAAGAGATCTTAGGTGTTTTGCATCTGTAGGTCATTCCTTTCAATCTGAATTACAGTTCATGGGTAAAGTTGACATTTTTGGTGGAATAAATTAATGTCAGTTCAATTTCTTTTAAACAAATGTCTACATCAAAACAAACAAACAAACAAACAAAAACAGAGTTACCACATGATTCCTGGCAGTGCAATGACCAAGGATTAAGTGATCATTTATCTACTGTCTTACCTTTAGATGCAGTGCCTTCATAAGAAGGCCACATGTGGACAAGCTAGTTTGGATGTGAAAGCAGGAGCGTCCATCTGCTTCTATCTTGCATTACTCTCTCCATCCCACATCACTTTAATCAGCTCTTTTACCAATGAAATAAAATACAATCAAAGGAAAGAATTGTTGAATAATTACCAGTTGTGCCATAACATAATGTAAGTCATAGTGGTGGTATTTTGTGAGCAAACTTCACACCACTGCCCCCAACACACACATGTGCACACACACAAGTTTAATATGTAAAATGAAGTGTGTTAGTTGTGGTTCACCTTTCTTTACTTCTCTGGTATTTCTCAAGGTATGTTATGGTTCACTGACCCAAGGAGCCTCTTACACACGCTTACAATTGGGCACCGCTGTTTAAAGAAACACAGACTCACTCCTCATGGCAAACAAGAAATTTACTCTACCAGGTTGGGGGTGAAAAAAAGGGGGAAGGCTAATCTACTTTTTGGAAAATCTCTGGTAACGCCCCCCCGCCCCACACTGGACTCTCCCTTGCTGTATATGCATGCACTACTTGCATCAATTTTTGTTTTTAAAGAAAGAGAATTATGGTACATAAAACATAAAAATGAAAGGAAAACCAGTCTCAAAATACTATAATGCATTTCAAAGTCAAGTAGCTATGATTTGTGGCACTGCTTGTAATTAACAATAATCAAAAAATGGAAATTACAATGATTTCCCCTGGGAGAACTATATACTCTAAGAAGAAGAAAATTCTAAGGGCTGAGAAGGTAAAAATGTTCAGTCTGTATCGTGCTTCTACTGGAGGATGCAGGGATTGGGAGGCAGGCATGGAGAGAGAAGCCAATGATTCATAATATTTAGGACTGTGGAAAACTCTTTACCAAGGAAGCATTGCTAAACATTTTGCTGCACATTCCTGGAATGCTGTGATGAAGAAAACGCATGGACAGATGCAGGGCTTTCTCAGGTCCCAAACTGAACTCATTTATTTTCATTTGCTCTTTTAAACTACAGGAAGAATGTTAACTGAATGACCCTATGAAATGCAGCAGAGTTCAGGTATCTTAGAGAATCATAAAAATAGAAATGGAAGTTTTTCTCTATTTTATTCCTGGATGGAAAGGAGTGTTCTGTGCACTCTCCATAGCTCAGGGGACAGACTGGTTAATCTTCTGGCAATAGAAAAATCTAATGTCAGATTCTTAGCTGTGTTAATTCCTATTCATCACCAACTGAGTCCGAACTGAACACTTGCAAAGGAGCACTAAGATTCATCCACTGAATGTGTGGGGTGTTACCAGATCAATGGCACCTCAGAGCCTCTGTCCCCATGTGCAACTTGGCTATAAGAAACAGAGCTGGTTAAGAACATACATACCTGAGAAAGAACTTCACATATATTTTCAACTGTAGTGAGCTAGGCAGAGTGCAAAGCAGAGTAATGAGAGTTAACGTTTTCAGCTATTTATTTTTACATTTCACATGTGTGTTTTCTATGGTCAGTGTAGGCAAGAATTGCTAATATTACTGTGAGGTGAAATGTTAATAACTCAGGAACAGGCAGTATATATCAAGACCAAGACAAATGCATGGAAAACATGGATGAAAAGAAAAAGGTTAAATGGTTCTATTACAAGAGGAAAGGAAAAGGTTGAAATGATTCAAAACCTAAACAGAAGTTAACATACAGATATACTATCCTCCATTTGGTGCATGAGAAAGTTATTTGATATTAGAATTAAGTATCTTTATTTTCTTGAATACAATTTTCTCAAACTTTTCCAACTATTTCTGGAATTTAAAAAAGTAGCTATTTTTATTCTGGGTTCCAAGAGAAAAAGAAATTTATGATGAATTGATTGCTATACCTTGAAAAAGTCACTTTGACTTTTTTGACCAAATAGGCTAGAAATAATGGGACCCATATTGCCATTCATTCCAATATTACTCCCAAAATAAGAACAAGGAAAATCAAGCTCAGGATTCTCTGTGATAATAAGAAACAATACCTTCTTAGAAGGCAAATAAAAGAAATTCAGTATCAGTAACAATGGAGAAAAGGGTCAACAAAACATTTCAAGATTCTAGCACTATAAGAGAAAATGTAATAATCATAGGACTGTCAATATCACACAACTGTCCTAAAATGTGAAAGTTAAGATTATTCTTGGTAAATTCATGTGTCTGTACAAAGTGTCATCTTCAGGTTACCTTGGCTTGAGTTAAAGGCCTTGTTGTCTGAATTTTTCATGAAAGTTCTCTGCAGCTTGAAAGCCTGAGTCCTAGGCTCCCACACACTGTGTGATGAATGGCAACTCATTTAATTAGAGTTTAAATCTGGACCATAAATTTTAATTCAGCTTCCTTTTTTCCCCTTAGCAGTTCTGTCTGGCATCTCTATCATGCACAGGCAAAATCTTTATTTTCAGAAGGAATAAATCCTTATGGAGTTGAGAGAAATAAGTCATCTGGGCCCAGGAACTAGTAAATCGACTGCCAAATTTTCACTTGAGAGACCAGACGCCTAAAGAAAGAAGGGTTCTTCTTACCTGAGATTAAACAATGCTTTTCAAAGTCTCTGGGGTCTGGACATAGAATTGTTGATCAATGGTTATTTGTATCACCATTTTAACAGAAAGGATCACCAACTTGGCTTTTAGAGTCTAAAATCAAAGTCTTCACACTTCTCTATCATGATTTTGGTCTTTGTGCATAGGATCAAACACAGAAAACCCAAAAGATCTGGAAAGTGCCACAGAGCAAGGTGCTTTCATAGGGGACCTGTTTTAAATTTTTCTAACGTTTACTCATTCTTTTCTGAGCAGCTACATGAAGTAGATGTAGCCTGCTGAAGTCCATGGCTAGATGACACAAAGTTACTGTAGGTGATTTCCCCTCCAATGAAAGTCCTGCATTCCAGGGACAGAGCAGGTGCTGCGCTGCCAGGGAGAAGGGGTGCACAGAAGGGAAGTGACAGCCAGTCCCGGAGCTGGTAAGGTACCTGGGGAGGAGAGCAGCACTCCAGAGCCCCTGGGCTGTGACTAAAGCCTCTTTCCCCTTGTGCTGAAAGTCACGACCATTTAAGTGTATCTCCTTTGCAGTGTCCATGTGGAAACGCTCACAAGAAGTCTGGGTGAAAACATCAGGTACCATTTCACATGAGTGTGTTATTCAAATTTTAGCTCTAGCATTTCTGGTGAGAAGAGACAAATTCAAGCCAATGGTTTTGTTGTCAGTTCTGGGTTTTATCATGTTAAAGAGAAAAATATGTTGCTAAAAATATGACAACCCCTGTCACTTTATTGCTATGGTCTAAGCAGTTGTGGCTAATTGAACGACTTTCTGCATCAATTAAAACAAACAAATTGAGAATTCCATTTAGAGCAGTTATTGCCGAAATATACTGTGTTAGGCCCCGGTTAAGCTTTTGTTGACGTGAAGTATTTTTTCCTAAGTAAAAATTACAAAAATACTTCCACCGAAGGTAACTGAGAAATTATTTGATTTGACATAAAGATGAAGACACCCTTCTTTTCTGAGACAGTACACGTTGTGATTCACAGGATAACTTGCATCACACGCAATTTAATGAAAGCTCTCAAATAAGCGATTTTATTCCTATCCATGATCGCAGACATTTACAAAACCATACATCTGAGTTCACCTTAAAAAATAACTTATATAAAGCAGTGATATACACAGCACAAAATAGTTCAGGGAGGGGCAGGAGCAACTTTTAATAATTAAAATGTAAACGTGAAAAAAGAGGATGGAATAAAAGTCCCTACTTATTTCTACTTAAGATGTCATGTGATAATATTTTACAATGTCCTGTGGGTCAGTGTCTGTATGTGCGTGTGTCCGTTTAACATCCACACACACAGCACATTCTCTTCCCCACACGTATACATACACAGATAATCATTTGCAGTTCAGTGTAGGGCAGTTCTCATATGCCGCTCCGTACAGTTGTTCGAATCACGTTTGGACCCGCTTTCTTCACAAAAGAGGGGAGAGAGCAGGAAATTAAAAGGTTGGTTTGGTGTGACTGAGATTCCTTTGTAGAACTGTACACTGTGATGAATGATTTTCTTCCGTAGGAGTTCTGTGAAGGGCTGACTCACTGTGGTTTTCACGAGGAGACTGGGTAATGGATCACACACTCATTGTCATGCTAGGGGAGTACTAGAAAGAAAGAAGAATCCGTATTTTAACAGCAGTTCTTTGACCGCTCACGTTCCTCTTGGTAAACAAAAGTAACTGTGAATTCTAATGTTTTTTCTGTGCGAACTTTTAACCTCATGCAGCATAAACGAAGTAAAATTATACAGAACTGACTATCCTGAAATTTTAAATATTTCCTTTGGAAAGCAACCAGTCTTATTCTCTTGCTGAACTCAGGGGGTTGGCTATTACCCAGTCCCTCAGCTTTCTCCTGGCTGGATTCATCTTTTGTGGGCTCTTGTAACAGTTTGGGTAAATCGAGTCCAAGGTTAAATCATAATGAAGTAAGTATGAGGGACAGGATGGTCTTCGTTATGTGTAAACTTGGGAGATGACCTAACATTTCCATGCTTCCGTTTCCTCATCTGTAAAATGGGTTTAATAATGTATTGGTCTTAAAGGGGTTTGGGGAGGATTGAATATAAAATGCTTAAAACCTTGTTTTTAGTGAATACACGGAAAGTACTCAGTTAATGCTAGGTTAATAGTGTAAGGGGAACAAAACAAAAACCCCCAGCTGGCCGCATGAAGTTCTCACTGAAGTATTTAGAATACTTTGGAGTCTGACTTATACTTTAGCGTATAAACTTCTTCCCTGAAGCTGTGGCTCCAATCTCAATCCACAAGCATTTCTAGGTAGGGTGGGGACACTGTTGTTACATGTTACTTGTCAGTTTGAGGCTGACCACTGGTAAATGGTGAAGCTCTGAGAAATTTGGAAAAGTGATCTCCCAAATGACTGAGAAAGAAACAGGACAATTCTTTTGATAATCATGCCAATCTGCCCTCATACTCTTGAGGACTAGACTGTGACAGAAGTTCTGGAGCAGCACTGCCCAACAGAACTTTCTTCAGCGACGGGCATGTCCCACAACCTGCGCTGGCCAACAGCAAAGCCACTAGCCACGTGTGGCAACTTGAGCATGTGAAATGTGGCTAGTGCCACTGAGGAACTAAAATGTCAAAGACGCTGAATTTTAACTTATCTAAGTAACGCCATCGTCTGGGACAGTGCAGTTCTCGATCGTCTGCGGTTTGGGGAGGAGCACCTACCTGCAAGTGGTAACAGGCTGCAGATGACGGGGGGTTCTACATTAGGCTGTAAATATGAGCTCTTGAACATTTTAAGTTTTATTAAAAACCTGTGAGAAGCAGGGCAAAATGGAATTTCTTTCAATATGCTGATAATGACTGTGCCTCATGGAGTGAGGCAGATAGAGTCAGGGGTTTGGTCCCAGTCTGCCAGGGCTCAACCAGGAACAGTGACGGTCCCGGGAAGGGGAGCAGACGGGACGGGATGAAGTGAATTCCAAATGAGCTCAGCTACTGCAGGAACCTGAAACAAGGTAGAAGGTGTGTACCAGGTAAGGAAGGACTTGTCAACACGGAGAAAGCAGGACTCCCCAGGGCAGAGCACAGGCTGGCAGCGGCTCCGCCGGCAGAGGTCTGGACTGGATGTCATTAGAGTTGAATCTCGGGTTCAAGCCTAAAAACCCACATTGACCGTGAGCGGGAGTGGATGACTAGGCCTGAAAACGGGTCACTGGACCCCAGGGGGAGGAGGGTTAATCCTTTAAGCACAGGTCAAATCAAGGAAAAATCTACTTGTTAACCACTTCATAGCCTCAAACTTCCTTTCAGCGCAGGAAAGCTAAAGTGTGTGTGTCACTCTCCATGCTGGATTACAGAGAGTAGGGCAATTAAAAGGGAGACTGCCAGGGAAAAGGGGATGAGGTTTGATAGAAAACTTCCCCCCCTTTCCCCTTGGTAGTGGCAGCAAAACAGCAAAACAAAACCCCAAACCCTGAACAGTCAGAGACTAGGACTGATGAAGGGAGCCCACCTGGGCCCTGTCCTGAGGATCTACCCCCAGTTCATCAGGGGGCACCATGCAGATCTCCACCACGAATAACAGCAGCGTGCTTCCCAGCTAGCCACAGCCTTTGATGAAACAATTGTATTTGGTGTTTGACTTTTAGGGGAAGACAAAACAACAAGAAGATAAATGGATACCAAGGTTTTATAAAAAGTAGAAAAAAATTAGAGAATATGGCAAGTGGGCATAGAAAAATTTGATCTCCGCTTTCTGTGGCTGCTGTTATTTACGGTGAGAATCAGTAGACTCAGTGCTGCTCAAAAGACCCCTCGGTGACGACAGATATGGTCAGTTCTGTGCTGTCCAGCGCAACAGCCGTTAGCCACACGTGGCTGCCGAGCTCTTAAAATGTAGCTAGTACAATTTAGGAACTGAAAATTCGACTGTATTTAATTTTAATTTAATTTTAAATAGCACAGCTAGACCATCAATCATCATTTTAAGACAAAGATTTTAATGGGCCTAGTGTGCCCAATCTAAAAACAGCAAAAGACTTCAAAGCTTTTCTGAAAGGACTTCAAAGGATACGTCTGAAAAAAATTTTCTGGATAAATCATAATTAATTCTAGAGAGCATCTCACTTAATGCACATCCTGAATAATCGGATTAAAAAAAAATCCCTGAATCCTTTTTTCATTAGGATTATTCCGGTTCAGTCATATGTCATGTAACATTAGGGAATATAGTTAAGAATGTATTTTAGCTTTCATTCTAATTAGACACTGTTTTAAAAGTATGCATATATGCAAACAAGTATATACGTACGTTCTCGGCTACCAAGCATGTTTGTTGGTCGCTCCCATCACTGAACACTGGCAATTAAGATTTTTCACCTGGGATATTTCAAACGTCTTAAGCAAATCTTACAGAAAAATGAGGACTTGTTACAAAGTCATTGAGAAGTTAAGACAGTTAGGCTTGTTCAGGGAGGAAGCTGAGTGGGAAAATAGGCCACAGCAAGAAAGTGAGGGCCAGAGTCAGTCAGAAAAATGGAAGTGTCATCTCCAAGCAATATAACTCAGAGAAATTAGCAAGCATTTCATAAAATTTAATTTTTGAGAAGTACAAATAACTAAAATGACACTGCGTGTCTCTGGTACAGTAAAATCGATTGTATCTGTGCGTGGCTGTCTGTGTAAGTGATGGGCGATTTGCAGTGCTGAGGCTGTAAACTGCTTCACGAAGTAAGTTGAAGGGAAATCACAAAATTTCTAGGGAGACTCAGGATGTGCAAGCAAAAAAGGGATTTTGCTATTGATTACTATTCAAGTAGAAGAGAAGTGGCTTACAGTTTTTGCAGAATTAAGGAAGAGGAGGTGTTAAATGGGGTGTCATATTTAGAGACGTAAGATACTCATGCTGTACCGTCCTGAGTCCACACTGCAACATTTCAGTTGTACGGTGGCATCAGTATGTGATGACACACTGGTGTCTGTGCCAGGGTGCTGTAATAGCAGGCTGCCCTGCTCCAAAACTACTCTGAGTCTGATTCTCCTCAGTCAGGTGATAAAACGGCCTTACAATACTGTTGACAGCATCAAGTGTGCCGTTCAGGAAAAGAAAGGGGGGGAGGGTAGTAAAACCTAAAGGTGTAACTGTAAACATATACTAGCTTATGGTTCCTTTCTATGTAAAATGTATTTTGAAATTGCATGCCTTGGTATGAACTAGAGAATTTATTGTACCCAGTTCACGTACCGTGGACTCCATCAGAAATACCCATTAAATCTTTGAACAACGTTCATATATTTCTGTTTATCCACTTCAGGAACACTTCTGATCTTACACTGCATTTCTGTTTCTAAGCATCTACATAATGTATTTTCATAATAAGAGGTAATAGTACGGGTACTCTGAGCTAAACTAAAGTGAAATAAATCTAGTGTGTATGTGACTGTAAAAAAAAAATCGGGGTGTATGTGAGTTCTTTAAATAGCAGAAAGTGACAAAAGGCAGTAAGGGTAATAGGAAATGATCTACATTATTTATAATTTCTATTTGATGCCATGATCTTAATATGTTTGCTCAGTTGATTATAGTTCAGTGCCATGGAGAAAATACTCTGCTAAATTAATTCAAGAAATAAGACTAACTGCTTTCTTTACTTGAGAGGCATAAAGCACTATTTCTTGAACCAAGCCCCTCTGTATTCTGTATTTTTAAAACCAAACATTCTATAGAGTTGAACACTAGGGGGCATCTTTGCTTCTTGAAATAAAGGCCTTAGGATCCAAAAAAGAAAAAAAGGCTGAATGGTGAAACACTTTTTGGTTCACATTGTTCTGTATAAAGCGTGTTGGCACTGCAAGGTTTCTGCTTTTGGGTTGGACGTTCCTGTTTCTATACTGATGATATTAAGTAGCATGTGTGAGGTGACTAAGGTAGTGTCTGTATGTAATAATCAGCCAACAGCTATTTGCTCCCTTCCCAGGCCTCTTCTGTGGTTAAACTTCAAGATAAAGAGAGACAAAAAGGCTATTCAGACTTCTGTGCATTAAAAACCCCTAGAATTTGATGTTTAGTCATTGGAAACGTTTTCTTCTTGAATTCATTAAAGGGTTTTGCGTTTCCTTCATTATAGGGAAGCTAACTTATTGGAGATATCTAGCTGCCTTCTTCTTCTTCTTCTTCTGTTTATTTGGGGGGAGGGGAATTAGGAATTAGATTTATTTATTTATTAAGGAGGTACTGGGGATTGAACTCAGGACCTCATGTGTGCTAAGCATGTGCTCTACCATGTGAGCTATACCTCTACCCAGCCTATGACTTCTTTAAGGGTCTCATTACATTTGTCAGCGGTGAATCTCTCGTCTTCTTCCTCTCTGCTCTCATTTCTTGATCTTTTAAAAACATGCAAATAAAAATGTGTCGATGTGATAGTGGAAGCCAGAGATAACAGTGACGCCATTCATGACACGCAGACTCCTCACGGGCAGACAGAA